GCTAATGAAAAAATTATTCTAAAAATGTTTTTGAGTTTGCCAAATATTTTTTTGAGATATTTTTTTTTTAAAAGCCAATAAATCAATAAATTATTTTGAAGAACAATTCCAAACACTCCTTTACTTTAACTTATTGGTTTTTTAAAGTTAATAAATCAATAAGTCGTTTCGAGAAACAATTCCAAACACTCCTTCAACATAAACGTCGTTAATTAGTAGGAGTCTAGTTTTTAATTTGGAGTCCTCATTTTTATTTCATTTCTTTTAGGGTTTATCTTTCAAGTTAGCTTAATAACTTGCGTAGGAATGTAATGTTTTGGTATCCTAGTCGGATTATATTTTCTCTTCTTTAAATAAGGCATCCTTTTGTTTATGGTGTTTTCTCAAGCATTAGTGTTTTTCCCTCTAATAACATTGTTATCCCCTTAGTTTAAAGGGTTTATCGTAATTCATAATTGTCTATCATATAGTTGTTTGCTACATCAAAGCTTCCTTAAATTCGATTATTTTTCTTAAAAGCTATAAAAAGGACTATGAGAAAGCATGAAATAAAAGAAACTAAGGTATGATGCTATGATTTGGTTATTTTTTTTAAATATTGTGACTTAATATAAAAAAATGAAATTACAATGCTTCAATAGAAATAAATGGGAGTATAATGCCATTATAACATCTTTTATCATTTCTTTCTGTCGAAGCAACGATCTTCCGGTTTTTCTTTCTCAAAGACAATAAAAAAATATGAGAGTATGAAAAAAAGGAAATTAAAGTAGGATGAACGATTTAGTTAAAATTTCAAAGTATAATGTCATAATAAGAAAAAAAAAGTAAAACAACAGGGCATTAATATAAATAAATGGAAGTTGATTGCTTTATATGATTATATCATCTATTGCGATATTTATCCATTAGAGCAACGTAAGTACTCTCGTTTTTTCTTAAAACCAATTTAACAAACAATTTCAAGCATATCTTTTATTTTCGTTTTTATAAAGTTTTTTACCTCTTTTTATAGCGAACTCACCAACTTTAGTTTTCATTTACATATGATGGAAAAGTCCCACCTTGAAATGGCAACTATCAAACCTCTTGCAAATTAAAAAAAATGTAAACCATTACATTATTTCATTATGAAAACAACAACATAATATTCATAAATAGTTAAGTAAAGTTGGGTGTAGTTGATTCCCTTGAAAACCATTAAATTTTAGTCGATTTCCCTTGAAAATTCTCTCATGGAAAGTAGTAAAAGTTAGGCTAAATGCAAGAAAGTATGTTGTCATTTATGGAATTAATCCATCGAGATCAACAAATTCCATTTTGTCGTGATGTGAAGTGATAGTTTTTTTCAACCAAATACCTTTTTTATAGTGGGCTAATTACACATTAATAAATAACCAAGTAAAATAAGTTCCCTTCAGCTAATAGTTTTCTTTCGGTAAATAATTTTTCTTTCAAAAATAAGTCTTTCAAATCAAAGTATCAAAGTGGAAGATGCAGGAAATCAAATCCTCTTCCCTTAGACATTGAGTGGATTTCGGCCTTCAATTTTTGATTTTCCATCTTTAAAGAAACACGTAAGGCCTGTTTTGGAGTTTAACTGTAAAGTCTTACAATTATTATTCATAAAACATCGAAAAGTATACTAATTTGATCAGAATTGGAGTTGTATACCATGTGTTTTAGGTGAAGTAAAAGTAATCAATGTTATTATTATTAGATAGATATGATGTTCAATATACAGCACAATATGCATAGAGTACAAGTATTGGTGTGTTGATGTGGAGTGGCGATGATGTTACAACATTTTTAGTGTGGTGCTGTCGGGTACAAATAATGCATCTAACACAAACCATTTTGAGGGCCATCAATTTATTATAGGACCTAATGTTAAATCAATGACTTGTTTTCTGGTCAAAAGTTTATGGATTTAACACCAAATCCTTTTAATATCTAGTACTAGTGGTAATAGTAATCGACATAATAAACGCACTCTAATAAGGCTTCACAATTATTCCTACATAATAATGCCTGTCTAGATACAAGTTGTTGTCCGCCTTCAACTTTAGCAAGACCGAAATCAGAAAGCTTTGCATTGTATTATTCCTGGTAAATTAAATCATACATACAAGAGACCAAAAGCCTACAATGCATTATAATTGTAGCACCAAACTTCAATTTCTTCCTTTATAACATTATTCTTTGAAAATTTTATCTAAATACAAAACAGTTTTTCATAGCTATAACCGGATAGATTTTTCAAAGTAAAAAGGTTAGAATAAAAAGATTTAGAAACTACAGTCCTATAATTACATAGACTTTTTAAAGTATAATTCACTGCATTTAGGGGTGCAAAACAAGGATAGAAAGTTACTCAACATTTTATTCTTAGTTAAATAAAGATAGGAATAACTTTTTGAAACTAATTCAAATTGTTTTTAATAACACATAGTCTTGAATGTGTAAACATTGTCCAGCAAAGTTGGTAAAAATATGAGAATCTCGTTTCCTAGCATTATTAAGTATATAGGTAAATGACTATAAACAAACTTCCTTCATATTTGTTTAATTTCCTCCTGTAATAGCATTGTACATTTACCCAATTATAGCAAAATCATACAAATACCAAAAAAAAATCTGGTTATTGTACCTTGGAGAGGCTAGACTCTCGAATTACTAGCAAAGTATTAGGGTTTTATTGTGTTCTCTTGGTATTTTGAGTGAATCATTGATAAGCCCCAACTTTTACTGGTTTATAGCCTAAGGGTATAAGGGTAGAATTGTCCTTTTAATTAAGTATCCATAGGTTGTTATCTGTGAGTGGGACAGGAATTGTGGGGGGCAACATTTTGTTGTCTGTTGTGTCCTTGGGTCCTTCTGTCTCAGTCTAGGTATTTAGTAGTAGAAGGTAGCTAAGAATTATGTTATAGAACTTTGTTCTTCATGGAATTATCTTAATATTATCAGGTATTTTTAGTGTGAGTGTTAGAATGTTTGAGTTATCTGATAAATTCAACAAGGGTCTATCAATCATTGAATATAGTGAAGCTTTTGTATATCTGTTCTTGTTTTGTTGATTTCATTCTATAAGTGAATTCATACCAATTGGTATCTCTCAAAAGTCAAAATCAACGTCAAGATGGGTGAGAACCTCCTTGATTGCTTGTGTTGTTTGTTGATGCCATTGGAGAACAACGAAAGATAGCTTGTTGAAGGCTGAAGAGGTTGAATCGATGCTTATCATATCTTGAATCACAAGAAAGTGTTTTATGGGTCAACTATCAGTTCTCTTAATTTTGCAATGATGGTTTATCCACCTACTTGTGAATGGTAATGGGGCTTAACTTTAAGTCTATTTTCCCTGTTGCTCATGGGTAACATAAGATCCCAACAACCAAAAACAAGAAAAAGAGATCCAAACAAGAATCAGAGGAACGACTTATACCATTGGTTGCATCACTTTTTGCTGGAGTTTTGAAGAGTTCAAGAAGGGAAATTTTACTAAGTAAATCTGTGGAAAAAAGAGTATGAAAAAGAAAAAGGTAGAAACGGAGTGAAAAGAAAAATCTCTAAGGCTGAACAAATGTTTCTGTAGCTTGTAGCCTTCATTTGATTCTGTCTAAGAATCTAACCTTGGACCTCTAGCTTCTCTTATCGTTATGTTCATCTCATTGAACAAAAGATTTCAATGGATGCAGAAACCAACAACCTTGGGAGATTGGGATGTGAGAAGAAAAGGGTTACTTGTAACTTTTCTTCAATCTCAGATATTTTATATTAATATTATACAGATAGAGTAGAGAGGGAAGAATAGAAGGAGTCAGAGAAAGGGTTCTGGGTATTACCCAATCAACTCATTTCTTTATGCTCTTCCCAGCTTTATCCTACACCAAAATAAATTTGTTAGAAAATTGATTATCTAACTATATACCAAAAGAACCATAAATAAAAAGATTTGATGAAAGAAAGGTAAGTAGGTAGGGAGAACGTTGATTCTTCTTCTCCTTCATAGCTTCAAGTTTTTGCTGCTCTTCCCATTATATCCTAAAAAAAATAGATTTGGTACAAGCTTAACTACATATCTTTTTATATTGATTGAAGAGAGGTTGCAATTTCATAATATGCATGGTACTATTCCTTTTTTTTTTTTTATCATTATATCCTTGTATAGTTTGCTAAAACAATGAATTGTTGCAGTATGATGCAATAAATTTTAGCCACAACTGTATTTTTATATTATTGGTGTATGACAATCCGAATTGCCCCCACCACAAAATAAGTTTGGAATTGCCATTGTTGGCATGTGTGGTGTGCTTATAGGTTTACATAAGGACATTATTGCATGTATAAGTTTTACTTTATAATATAGGAAAGCGATGTTCAATATTTAGGGGTACATCACATGAGTTTAGTATTTATACAACAGCCTCAACTTTTGGCAATGTCTATTATACTAAGATGACTCTATGTATTATGTAATGTCACTAAGGAACTTACTTCATGGAGCACTACCTTAGTACCCCAACTATTTGACTATTTGAGATGTGTAATGTTCAAGTGTAGAACCATTTATGCAAAACTGCAAATGCAATACTTACGTAATTAACGCAAGTGATGCCTTATTGCATCAATCGATGAATTTCAAGTAGAAAAAAATGTATAATATGGATTCAATGTAATGTATTCAACTGGAAATAGTTTCAAGTTTTTGCTTTGTTAATAAACATGTGACAATCGTGTCAATGTGGAGCTTTCATGCATATTAACATACTTTGCAAAACGAAATTCTACACCCAACACAATTAGCAAGTCCATAAAACATCTATTAAAATTTAAATAAACAAAATGATAAAGAACAGATACCAGCCTAAACATCTTCAAAATCAGTGTAGAGGACTAAAGGCAACATCAGTGAACCCAAAATTTAATTTCTAATGTAACAAAACATCTTTAAGCACATGACACTTACCTCAATCTCAATGAAGAAAAACTGTGTCATTTCATCTAGGTGGTCTATCAGGAATGGATCCAGGCTTGAACTTTGAAGCCTCATGCCTGGCAAGTTCAGGAGGCACATGACTGTTGCTCTGTGTCAGCATCTGCTTCAAATCATAAAACACATCAGTATCATGAAGAGTCAAGAATGTTGAAGCTATACCCGTCTTCCCTGCACGACCTGTACGCCCTATTCGATGAGTATACATGTCAATTTTACCAGGCATGTCATAGTTTATGACATGAGCCACATCAGGAATATCAATCCCACGCCCTGCAACATCTGTAGCAACTAATACATTGAATCTTTTTGTCCTAAAACCTTCAAGACTCGTTTCCCTCTGTTCTTGTGACTTGCCACCACGCAAGATTGTCACACGGTAACCTGACTTTTCCAGTTTCTTGGATACATGGTCAGCGGTTATTTTAGTGTTAACAAACACAATGACTTTCTTATCCACAACTTCATCAAGCAATTCTTGCAGCCTATGCATTTTCTCTGATTCCTTTACTATGATAACATGCTGTGTAATGAGATCGTTTGCCTTTCCTGCAGTTCCAGCTGTAACCACAACAGGGTTTCTCAAGTATTTCCTGGCTAGTCTCTCCACAGCTGGAGGCATGGTGGCACTGAACATATAAGTGGTTCTGTAGATTCTTTTCTCATCAAGTTCTTCATCTTCATTCTCGGGTTTGAAGTTGCTTGATGGCATTGCATCCAGAACCTCTACAACTTCGGGCTCCATACCCAGGTCAATCATACGGTCAGCCTCATCAAGAACAATATAGTTACACTGGTTTAGAACAGCATATTGGTTCTTCAGGCAATCTTTAAGTCGCCCAGGTGTAGCAATGAAAACTTCACACCCTTGGCTAATCTCAAATGCTTGTTCTGTAACTGGGCGTCCACCAACAATGGAAACAACTTTGATGCCAAGATAATGGGCGAACTTGTTAGTCTCATCCTCGATTTGCTGTGCAAGTTCTCTGGTAGGTGCCATGACAAGTGCATATGGTCCCTCAGCCTTGTTTTCTTCACTTATAGGAGGGAGTCTGGTGATGTAAGTCAACATTGGAAGAACAAAGGCAGCTGTTTTACCTGAACCAGTCTCGGCAACCCCAATGACATCTCTTTGCTGGAGACCAAGAGGAATGGCAGCCATTTGAATGGGAGATGGGGTTTTGTAACCAGCCCTCTCAACAGCTTTCAATAGCTCATTGCTCAGTTTACTTTCAACCCAACTCCTCATAGGCCTGGGAATTCTGGAACCTTTGTAAGATATGTTGAAATCTTCCCTAAAGATCCTCCAATCTCTCTCAGTCATTTCCTCTAGTTTCTTCTCAGACCAGTGGCGATCCACTCTCATGTCAAATGTATCGTATATGTCAGCAGCCTCTTCCTTGAGTCTCTGAGCAGCAGCCTCTTCTGGCCTTTCCTCAATCCCATCCTTCTTCCTAATCTTGTCTCTCAACTCTTTCTCGTTCTTTGCGGCTAATTTTTTCTGCTCCCTGCGATCCATGCCAGCGCGGAAACCTCTTCCAAACAGAAGACGAGCCTCGTGAGAGTTTTGATAGAGAATGTTCATATCACGAGAAGTGTCCTCGGTGTTCTCCCAATCGAAGGAAAAACGGAACTTATCGCTGGGTTTAATAACCCTTTTCTTAGGTTTCTTCGATCCCAAGTACTGCTCCTTGATGGCATCGAGCTCCTTCTCGCGCTCTTGCTCTGCAAGCTTCTCTAAACAAGCTCTTTCCCTAGCCTTGTTCTCTTCATCACGTTCTCTATCGCGGTTCCGCCGCTCAGAATCGCGTTCCCTTTCCCTATCCCGTTCCCTGTCCCTATCTCTATCTCTGTCACGGCGATAACAGTCACCGCAGACGTCGGCGACAGAGGGTTTTCGACGAAGAAGAAGGACGACAAGGACAGAGGGTTTCCGACGTAGAAGAAGAAAGATCGTAATTTGGGAGACCCTAACTCGTTTGATACTCGTTATTCTAAAACCCTAACTCGTCGGATCTGAGAATCCTAACTAGTCGCTGCCCTTAGTTAGCCAAATCTTTGGTCTGCGACGGTCTTCACGTTCGATGGAGAAAGATAGAGAGAGACGAGGATCGACAGAGACGGAGGCGGAGGTGGCGTTTGTCGCTCGAGTTTCCAGACAGAGCGACGTTTACAGATTTGGACAGTGTTGTAAAACTCGCCGAGTTGGCCGATTACTCCTCCGAGTACTCGCTACTCAGCCCCTTACCGAGGCGAGTTACACAATCCCGAGTACTCCCCGATCGACTCCTTACTGAATTGGGCAGTATTGTAAAAATCAATCAACTCAGTGATTAATATGTATAATATACTTAATGATTTATTATTTAACACACACATGTGATTATTACTACATATATATCTTAAATTTTCAGTAATTACTCACGAAGTAAGACCATTATGTGTTTTTCAGTTTTTGTGTAATCACATATATCTAATTTTGTTATATATTTCAATCAACTTATGATTTGGACATATATAATTTCCTTAAAAATATTTCTACATGAATTACCGAATCCGAGTACTTCCTGAGTACTCCCGGGTACTCCCGAGTACTCGCTACTCGGTAGTCGGTCGAACAGGTACCGAGTAACGAGTTCTACAACCTTGGATTTGGACGGAGGCGATGAGATCGAAGATTGGAGACGATATGTTGAAGATTTACCATGGTACTAGAGGGTGTGGTTGAGGTGGGTTTTCTGGTGATAGATCTGAAAATCGAGCTACATATTGAGAAGATAAACTGAGAAGGGGGTGGTGCTGTAAACCGATCCTGACTATGATGGAGAACACAAACAGATCTGGAAACAGATGGAGAAGACGAACATCTCTAAAAACAGATGGAGAAGACTAACCCTAGATATGATTTCTCCTTCTGTTTTCTCCATCTCCATTGATAATCGACGAGTTCAACAATTTGTTATGGGTGTTTTTTTTGTTCATCTGGACTGATTTTCAGGAAGAAGAAGAAGACGGGTACGTGTAGAGAGAGAGGGTGAGAGAGAGAGAGAAATTAGTTTCAATTTTCTTTTTATTTATTTTAATAAAAAAATTAATAAACTTAATAAAAAAACTGAAAAAGAAAAACGTAAGGGCAAAATTGTCATTTTAAAAAAGTTCAAAGCAAAACGGACCAAACTCGCAACAAAATGAAAAGTTTGGACCTCTGGTGCTAGTCCAAACCTTTTTGGACCAAAGTGGCAATTTTCAGCTAACCACAGGGACCATTTGTGCAGTTTAAGAGTAAATTACACATTTGGTCCATGTGGTTTTCCTTAATTCCAAATATTGGTACTAGTATTGATTTTGTAACATGATAGGTCCTTATGGTTTGTTTTTATTGCATTGGATGTCCCTCAACCTAATTCCCGTTTATTTCCACCATTAAAGAGAGGCATGTAGCCCTCACGTGAGTGCAAAACAATCATTTCCTTTTGGGACCATCTTAAGTACAATTACAAGGCATATAGAAGCTTCCTTACCTATCCTCTTCATCTCTTTCTTCCTTTGTCTCTCTTTATAACTGCTTCACGAAGCTATTTCAGGGTTCCTTAGGTTCATGAATGAACTCCAACAAGCAGTTGCAAATGCTAAAATAATGCAAGTATTTGTGCTTTGGTTCTTGGGTTTTCTTCATTGTTGCATGGTTATGTAACCTCCCAAAAATACTGAGTAAAAATTTCATTTTAAATAAGTCAAGACCATTCATACATTGTTCCAAAAGGTGATCAAAGTCAAAGTATTCTCAAAACATTGGAGTAAAATCATAAACAATCAATGTAGAATAAATCTCCATGGGATGCAGTACGATCAAGCCGGACCCTTCCTTTTGAAACTAGAAGTACCTGAAAACATTTTAAACATAAACCATAAGCACAAAATTTAGTGAGTTCCCCACAATACCACATACCATAAAAATGGGCCCATCCCAACATATAAATAAATGGGCCCATCCAAACATATATAAATGGGCCCAACCCAGCATAACAATGGGTCCAATCCAACATAAAAATAGGCCCAACCCAACATATAAATTGGCCCAACCAAACATACCAATAGGCTCAATCCAACATACAAATGGGTCCAACCTAACATAAACATGCAAGAGTAACAAAGACAACTAACACAATCCAATGAGTCAGCATTGGTGCCTTCTACCTATGAGTATAGTGAGAAGACTCACCTGAACTACTCAATAGAAGCTCAACAGCTACCTCAACAACAGAACAACCAATCCAAGATACCTAACGCCAAACCGAGACCAATCCTTAGTTAAATACTCAATTCTTCCCAAGTTTGACCAAAAGTCAAAATGGTCAAAAAGTCAACGATCAAAAATCCCACAGTCGGCCGCCACATCGTGACCAAGCTTTTGTCACGTGGTGGTGGCCTCAAGACAAAACAGTCGTTGAGACCGCCCCTTCCTCACGTCGTGAGAACAACTCTGGCCTTCTTAATGCATTAATCTCTTACTCCTTTAACCCACTTATCCATACTTTCCAGAAGGCTCTCATACACCCAAATGTAACATAAAAATCCTTACTTTATGATCATGCATGTCCAATACATGTCCTTTCCAAAACTAGGTCAAAAAGGGGTAAGAAATGGGTTAAAATCTCATGCATGACATCAAAACTACTTGTGAGTCGAGATTTGAAACATACAATGTTCGTAGGACCTTGGAGAGTAATAAAGTTGCAAAATTTATTCCCAACTTTCACTCAAAACTCATTAAGATGGGCCAAAACACCAAAAACACTTAGATCCAAAGATGAAATGCAATACATATTGGAACTTTACAACTTACAAAGGTCTAGAAGGCAGATGAAAGTTGAGATCTTCAATTGCCAAGATTCAACGATCAATCTTGCATGAAATCATTGCTCCAAAACCACCAAAAACTCTAAAAATGGATGAGAGAGGAGAATGGAGGCTCAAAATAGAGAACGGGAGGCTAGGGTTTCTCTCAAAAGGCTTTAGGTGTGATGGATGGTGGAAAAATATCCCAAAAACACGGAATCACCCTTTAAATACCTAGAAAACCCTAAAATTCGTAGGCTTGGGTTGCCCGGTTCTCACCACGTGACTACATGTTTTCATCCAATTCTATTCCAACTTCAAAACAATCATAAATTCTTCATTTCAACTCCGTTTTCGGCAATCTTTATATGCACGGTAATGTATTGATGAGCCCAACAATCTTATCTAATTAATTTTGACTTAATACATTTCGAACTAAAACCATAATCCATACAAGAAGCCCAAAATATTACTTTTCCCATTTTAACCTTTTTCTTCAAAGCACAAATCGAAGGCTTTAATCACTTAACCAACATTATCAACATCCAATAAGGTCTAAACGCTATTCCTATGAAGCTCAAGGCATTTACTCGATTCATTTATAGACCACAATCCCGAAATAAAAAAACTTCTTGAAACAAGATGTTACATGTTATCTAGCATCTTATGAAGGATTAGGTATATGTGGGGGTGTATGTTTTTGGAGGGAAAATCGATTTTGTTGTTGTTGAAATTGTAACAAATGTCTCTAGTCATATGGGATATTTATCAAATTTAAAGTGTTTATGAATGTCTTTTTGGTATTTGTTGAATTGTAAATGGAAATCATATTGTAGTGACTTAATTATGAACTTATTTGTATTTATAGTTGTTGAATTCATATGGGTAATATGTTGTTGTGGTGTTTATGAAAAGTAACGAAGCAATGATTGTATTATGAACAGAAACATGATAAATTTAAGCATTTTGTCAATAATGTATACATTAGGTAGTAAATTGACCATTCCATAAATTAGTCAAAAACTTGTCAACAATTTCAGGTTCTGTGACCATATTGGTAGTAGCATGAGTATACCGATGTAAAGAAGGAAAAAGTAAAAAATGTAAGCCGCAAAAATATTGTGCAAAAGACAAGCATACAATATATATATATAATTTAGTTAAACATTTACCTAAAAAAGGATAGTTTTAACCTCGTTAACAAAGGAATCCATAAGTTAATTATCCTATCAAACCAAAAGACTATAGTTTATGACATAACTGTAACATCCTAAAAATCATAAAATCATAAAATCATAAGTAAAAATTTCATTTTTAATTAAACCAAAAAACCATCAAATATTCATATCAAACCATCCAGAAGTATGTCAAGTAAAAATAGTTATCACAGTACAATCTCAAAATCATAAAAGTGATGAAACATTGGTGGATGCACTCCGATCAAGCCGGACTCCTCCCCTTCGAACCGGAAGTACCTGAAACATAAACTTAAACCTTAAGCACAAGGCTTAGTGAGCTTACCCAAAATACCACATAATATACATACAATGGGCCTCGCCCGACATTGGGCCCCGCCCAATACGTATCTTTTTGTAACATGCGATGGGCCCCACCCAACACACTTGTAACACTCCAACAGTCAAAGAAATTTAAAATTTTTAAAATCAACCATTAACCAACATTGTTTACAAAAAGAGTCATTGTTTCAAAAGCATTATTTCAAAATCAGAGTTTTCCCAAGACCCAGTGACATAAAACAGGAAGATGTGCACGATCATGCATTTTCTTTCCCACGATCCTTAGAAGTACCTGAAACAATAAACTAAAAACTGTAAGCCAAAGATTAGTGAGTTCCCCCAAAGTACCAACACACCACATAATAAACAAGCATACAAATATGAGCAACCAACCTGATTGGACCGCCTCACAGGGCCTATAGCCTATCTGTACCGCTCTACGAGCCTTCGGCATGACTGGACCGCCTCGCAGAGCCTACAGCCTATCCAGACCGCTCTACGGGCTGTCGGCCTAACTGGACCGCCTCACAGGGCCTACAACCTATCCGGTTATCCCCGGGTGTCTTGGCCTACAACACAAAGCAGGACCGCCTCAACCCAAACACAATATGTCGACATATGTAACAGATAAACATAAACACAGAGCCAACAAATACAGATAATCATATGGAGGCTGCTAAAATGACCTAAAATCCAGAACAAGGCCTTTAAATACGATTTAAACCCTAATTTTATGGGCTTAAGCTGCACAACTCACCATGCCATGTGATGGGCTTCACTTAATCCATTTCAACTTCAAACAATCATAACTTCTTCATTCAAAGTCCGTTTTTAGTGATCATTATATGCACACGAAGGTATGAACAGGCCCCCAAATTCTATCAAATTTCTTTTGACTTAATATATACCAATCTAAATCCATTAATTCATGCAAGAATCCAAAAATATCACGTTTCCCCATTCTACCCTTTTGGCTCCAAAGCACAATTCAAGGGCTTAAGTCATTCAACCAATATTATCAACATCTAATAAGGTCTAAACTTTATTCCCTTAAAGCCCAGACGTTTACCCGATTAGATTACAGTCCGCTATCCCGAAATTAGAAACATCCCGAAACTGGACGTTACAACTCTCTAATGTTGTTTAGTAAATTATATGTATGTGGTCTCCCTGATATTTTTGAAAAGCATAATAAAACAAAGTTTAAATTATAAGTTTATCCATTTCTTAAAGCATTTGGAATTGAAAGCTTCACAAATGTTGTTTAGCAAATTATACGTATGTGGTATCCCTGATATTTTTGAAAGCATAATAAACCAAACCATGTAATCAATTTCAACATGTTTGACATGTAAAGTAAGAGTGTTTGATAAACTAATATGAAGAGAAATGGTTTATACCAAAGGAATGGCTCCTAGCATAGTGCTTTGGTGGTATCTTTTTCAACTATTCATGAGTTGCAAGGTTTAATCTCTTAAGTTTCTCCATAGCCTTTGTAAAGTAGGAAATAGTCATTGCGGTGACACGCCTCTACAATAGTCTTCTAATTCCTTTCCCTTCCATTGCAGCTTCATATTATCATGGATGTGTTTAAGGCAAACCTTGTACTCAACACATGCGAAAACTTTAGAAATGACTAGTAAAACACCCTACATAAACAAGATTTGGATTTTGCAATTGGTATTTTTTTTCCCGAAGTTCTTATCTCAAAGCAACAATATGGATATTTGGATTTGTACAAACTTGGTGTTTGGTTTGCAAGATAACCATATGTGCGCTTTTAATAATCCTGCTTGGGAAGCATGTGTGTTGGTCAATAAATGTTTTCACCATCAATATGTACGGTTTTAATAATCCTGTATGGGAAGCATGGTGTTAGTTAATAGATGTTTTCACAATCCAATCAGCGTCATACTTACCATAGATACATGAAGGGACTAGAAGCATTTATTTACCACTAAATTGCCACTTATGCCCTTCCCTTTGTCATTACTCTCATTTGATGGCCCATATGTCCATGGGTAAATCCTTTATACTTTTCTTTCACTCTAACTTTATCATTATAGCCAACCTTATATTCCTCTTAATATGAATTACCAAATAATCAACTAATTTAGTGATGTGTTTTTTATTAATTACAAATTCACCAACTACAAAATCAGCTTCATGTGATTCCCCTAAGTTACATGCCGTTAATTTCATGAGATTACTTAACATTCATTGCCTTTTATCACCATGGCCAACAAAAATATGAAATTTGTCAGTATCAATGATTTTTATACCAATCTTTTTTACATAAGGAGTATTAATAAATCGCATTGTCCTACCAAGACTTTCTACAACATGATCATACACACTATGGAATACCATATCTATATCCACATCATCTACAAGTCTAGACTTTCCACATCAAAATCACTATATGAAGAACTGTCCCTACCTTCATTGTTTGTGCTTCTTTCATCATTTCCTTATATGTTTAAGTCTTTTGAGTTCATATTCACATCTTCTTCCATTTCTTTATGATGTTGATCTCCAAAGTTGACATGATATTCCTCAACAAAGTTTCCATCATATGGAAAACTTTGATCCCTAAGATCAAAGAAGTTAACTCCATCTTTATTCTTTGTGCTTCTTTCATCATTTGCTTAGCCACCTCTTAGCCATATCATCCACCGTTACTAATCTCTTTCGACATGCTAACACATCCTCGCTTCCTAATAAACCATCTCAATTAACCAAAAACTTAACTTAATTATCTAATTCCTCTTTTCTAAACACATTTACTCAATCCAGGACCACCCATGTTAGACACGACATTGTCAATCCCATTTACAAGCTTATTCTTCAAGTCAACTCATCATATCCTCTTCCTCATGCATACTCAATTCCATGGAAGAATAATACAATGTTTTAATCACCAATCAGACTTAGGATCTTGTCTCACAACCTCCATATGCGAAGGAAATTAATGTGTTTAGAAATTCAAAAATAAGCACAACATCGATGGATCGTTGTTTTGGTACAAGGCATCCCTTATTGCTAATAAATGTAGCTAAAGGCTTGGACAACCTTGTATAGATTGTGATGAGACTTTCAGCCCGGTGGTCAAACCGGCCACCATTCGAAAATTTGATAGCGTGGTTGTGTCACATCAGTGGTCCATCAGATATCTTGATGTTAATAATGTATTCTTTCACAATCATCTTCAAGAAACCGTGTACATACATCAACCATCAGGATTCTATAACCATCAGGACCATGTATGTCTACTCCGAAGGTTTCTCCACGAACTAGGCCAATCATGCATGGTTTATCGCTTTGCATTATTTATCACTCGCCATGGTTCCCCTCGTAATAGATGTGATTCTTTGTTTTTTATTACAAGGCACTCATACAACTTATTAACTTTAATACGTTGATGATATTGTGTTGACAACTTCTTCCCTAAACTTCTATACATGTTTCTACTATGTTGGGCACTAAATTTTCTATAATAGATCTTAGGGATCTTAACTACTTCTTTGGTATATATTACTTATGGGTGTTCAAAATCGGATATACAGAAATTTGGATATCCGAAATTTCGGATAGCGGATTTTTAATATCCGAAATTTTGGATATCCGAAATTCAGATATCCGAATTTTCGGATACGGGTCGGATATCCGAAATTTGTAATTTTGTAACAATCAAGTACTAAACTATAATCAAATAACAACACATGAAAATATTAATTATGAAACAAATTACAAAACATAAAATGTTATGATTAATGATTAAAGAAATTTGTTAATAAATCAACAAAAACTACATCAAAACAACGATTTGCCTAATAGTTAATTTCAATTTTTAATTTTACATGAGATATGTATAGCAAACAAAAGCAATTATTTATCATATCATATATATGGTATATGTACTTTAAGTTTTATTATAGATTAATCGGTTAATTAGTCAATTCTTTAATTGATATATAGATTATTTAAATATTAGATAAATAGTAAAAAATTATAAGGTTAGAAAGTGTGCTGAAGTTTTTATATAAAAATATCTAGATGGACAATGTTTACATGTGGGTTGCTCTGTAAATATCCAAACCAAAGAATTTACAGTTTACATTTTAGTCATTAATTTAACAAAATGTTAAAAAATAACTAAAATTATGAATATGTGTTTCGGACTTCGGATATCCGAAATATTCGAAAATTCTTAAATTTCAAATTGGATTTTCGGATATTCGGATTGGATGTTTCGGATGCGGATATATTTGAACACCCCTAATATTAATGTCGATGTTAGTAATGGTAATAATGTTCATAGTTTAGACAATTTTATTTATAAAAGAGCGTATAATGACATTGTCGTAGATGTGTTACTATGTTTTGTTAAGATTCATTTTATGTAGTTTTGTATTTTGGTGATGTACTTTAACAGTATTCCTAATGTAATTTCATGTATTGTTCCTCTAATGGTAATGCTTTCAGTGATGATATTGGGAATCTACTTTCGGTAATGGTAATGGTCATGTACTTTGATAGTAAATGTAATGTACTTTGATTAATATGGTAGTCGTAATGAACTTTCATTATTGGTAATGGTCATGTACTTTGACAACAATACTAAGGCTAAGAGGAGTGGGGTCGCCACCAGGCTCGCTAATCTCGCTAGCAATGTTTAAACACCGTCCCCAGCAACTTACCAGAAGACTCGTTAATTTCAATTCGTTAACCACTTGACGAGTAGAGAGAGAAAGAAAAGTCTGCATCTCATTGGTTCTCAATTTTCATGCACATGTGTATGTTAGCAAGCCATTTCCTATTCCAAAACTTCATTTCCAAATAAATGATTCCTACCCTCACTATAAATTTGTTTACAAATATAGTTACATTCTCAAAACTTTGATTTCAATTAAATCTTTTTAACCCTCATTTGATAATTCCCTACAAATTTGGTCCCAAACATCAAACATTGATTTAAAAGAACCAAAAGGACCCAACACTTAAATATTATACTTATTTTCATGTAATTGATTTATATTATATTAATTGTTGGTGGTTTAAAAAAATAAAATTTGATTAATATTTGTGCATAAAATATGTTTGTGTATTAAAATAAAGTAATTTAATTAAATTAGAGAAAAAAAATCAGAAAAAAACGGAGTGCTAGGAGTGTTACCACTCCCTAACAAATGCTAAGATTAGGTGTTAAATGAAGAAAGCACTCAAAAAGCTGATGTGACAAGGTGCTAGGAATTTTACCACTCTCCTTAACCTAATGTAATTGGACACTGATGGTAATGTTAATGTACTTTTAGTTCCTGTACATGCAATTGCTAATGGTAATGTACTTCTTGTTCTTGTAAAGTGGAGCTACTTTTCTGCACTTTTTATTATGCACTTGTAAAATGGTCATCTACAAAAGTACAAAACAGTACATTACATTACATTAAACGTAATTATCGTAACATACATCCATTTGTACACCCATGTTCAAAAAGGCCATTATTTACAATCATTGTTCAAAAAGACGAACTAGAATTCACGTGTTGTAATGTTGTCTGTTGCAAACAACTGGGTCCCAAAATCGTCCTCTATCTTTACATAATCCTCATCTTCATATTACAGGGAAGACACCTATTCTACCTCTTTTGCCTTTCTATTCTCTTGAATCTCCTTCAATTCTCTTCTCTTTATCTCTGCTTACATTTTCTGTTATAAACTTTGATGCCAATCTATGCAAATCAGGAGCAGAGCCCCATTTGCTTGAATGATCCATTCCATATGTCTCACATCTTTCCAACTCAAAGTCATTTGAATCCTCAGAAATATCTGTGTCATAACTTTTCTTGGAAAAGTTTAAGCTGAATGCATACCCAAAGTATTTCGAACTGTTGTACTGCATATAAACTTCCGGCTTCACAAACCCCCGAAAATTATTTTGGGAACGGGGTGTTTTTGAAAAGAGTGTTTCCTTGAAATTGTGCGCACATCCATGGTTAAATGGGTTCTTCTTTCTTTCATATCTATACCGGAAGTTTTCATAAGTAGTCTGCATAAAAATCAAAACGTTAAGATACCAATTTGAAGATTTATGTGAACAAGAAGGAAAGAAGAGTAGGAGGAAGACCTGGTTGGTGATGACGAGATAAAGATGAAAAGCAGATAAGCCTCCAACGAACCATGAAACTGTAAACGTGTATGTTATGAGAGCTATGGATACCGGTGACTTCAGAAGAGCTTCGGAGACAGTGTTATTGTCGGATTGCATAGTCATGATGATGTTTACCCAACACATAGCGAAAACATAAAGGCATAGTTGTGCTGTTGCCGTTACAAACATGAAAAAGTATCGATAATTCCTCTGAAATTTACAATTTTGAATCATTAGATGTAGATAAGAGTCATAAAACCCATAAAACCCCAAAGTTATAACCATTTACTACCTTGCCGATACATTGGCCCACCCATGGGCAATGATGGTCAAAGCGGTCAACACAATTATTGCAAACAGAGCAATGAGAGCATCTTGGTGGGCGATAAATCATGCAAGTGTTGCAGAATTTGACCCTAACGATTGTTCCGTTAACGTTAATACTTTTTGTAGGTGGTAGAAATCGACCACTATGACCAGCTGCCCAGTCTGTAGAGATGCTAGAAGCATCCCAATCATCATCAGGTTCCGGATATGGTGGATTTCGGGGGATTATGCCAGGATCTCTTCCAGAAACAAGGAAGATAAGGATAAGAATCTGTAGCATTTGAAAAGAATCAAAACCATAATAGTTAACAATGGCCAATCTTGTAGAAAAGAGGAAACACGACTCACATATACAGTGAAGACAGCAGGAATCGCTACTAAAACAAGGCCTACAGTATCGGGAAAGTGAACCAAAAGACTTTGAGAAACAAGGGAGCAAAACAAGATTACTGGAACCACAATGAGGCAGATTGTAAGGTTTAGGGACCTGGCATCAGGACCAAATATTAATCTACCTCCGCAAGCAAAAATCTGCAAAAAGAAAAAGAAGAAAAAACAATAAAAAGATGAGCAATTTTGACGATTTCACCACCACTTTAAAGATGAAAAACGTTTGTGGTGTTAATAGTGGGAAAAGTGAATCTACATGCATTGCCCATAAACTGTTTGATTAAATGTGCATGCTAAAGAGGGATTAAGGAAAGAAAAGTGGATCATAAATTCGTAATCATACGTTGTTTCCTTTCCAGACTTGGTAGAGGCGAAGTGAAGGGGCATCAACATTGCTGTTTTGCCTATCGGATAATCCACGAGGGAGGCTGGTTCTCTTCATGGCCAAATCAAGGTTGCGATGCTTCCTGAAAAAGGCCCCAAATATCCTACAACAAAAATCAATACGAAATTCAATCTAAATTCTTGTTTATTGATCGTAATGCATTACGAAGGAGAAAAACCTGACCTTTTTCTTGAAGGTAGATGGGGCCAAGGAAACAAAGCAACCCGAGATTGTTAATAACGATCAGGCAGATTGAAAATGGTGGAAACGAAACAAATTGGTGTGGAAAAGGGATTTATATTTTGCTGGCGAGAGAAGCCCCTTCTTCTCCCCCCTGCAATGTATCTATGATAGTGCTCTCTCAATTATTTCTCTTTCTCTCGTCTCCTTCCCAACAATTTTTTTCCTTCTGAAAATGGTGTCCGATTGTGGGTGGAAATGATGCTCTGATATTCTTTCGAGTTTTGACATAGATTTCGCATCCAAGAAATGCATGATCAATTTTTTTGAAAGTTTAGAAATTTTGATGTATACATTTATTACATCTTTATTTATGTATATAATAATAATCTGTTAAATGTTCGATCTAAAATTATAAATAATTTATTCTAAATAAATAAATGGAGATCAATTCATACAATATCAATCATTTGTATGTTATAATATCTATTTATATTTTCTTTTTAGGATTGAACTCTAACACCATTTACTACAATATTATAATTTTTGTGTTATAATATCTATTTATATATTCTTCCTATTTAAACATTAATTTTTAATCTTTTTTACTAGAATATTATAGAGATTCGTAAAAAGTATAATACGTACCCGAATATATGATTATATTTAAAAATATATATCAACTCAAAAATTACTTTATTGAAGCATTTAAACTTGCTTCATTTCCGGATATTGGATAGTTTTTTATTAATATAAAATAATATAGAATAATAAAAGAAAACTATAAATCCATAATTAACAAACTAAAACTGTAAAGTCATTACTTTCTATATGTAGGCCTTATAAGCATATAATTTAATTGTGCTTAGAATATGTAAGACCAACAGTTGAATATTTATTTCTCATCAACACAACTCCAGGATTAAAAAATAATAATAATTATATGAGATGCAAGGAATAATCCAATAACATAAAATACATATATAGCAAATAAGATGGATCTTATCCTCTAAATCCGATCCTCACCATAGAAATACATTATATATAATAAAATGTATGCAAATTGAGTGGAAATTTATGAAATTTAGACATCACGATCTCTCTTACATTCCGGAGCCATGGTCGGGAACCTTTTCCGATCAGTGCAGTAGTTATAAATGGTGAACTGTTGACGCACCCACCGGAGACGGCGCCACTGATAAGCATCGAGATCTTGAAACTCTTTCTGGTCCCACCACCGTTTGCCTTGGGTCGCACAATATTTAGCATTTACCGATGACTCACAGCCGTCGATGTGGAAACTCTTGTATGCTGCAACAAAAGGTCCCTTTGACCAATCGGTCTTCTCCAACCCACCTCTGGTCGCCCAATCATCGGCATTCCATAAACTCGAGTATATCTTCATCGGTTGGTTGAATGGAAATCTCACTCCCAAATCTTTGCTGTTCTTAAACACCCTGATTGGAACATCATCCACAAAAAACCTGCATATAAATATATCCAAGATTTCATAAATCTCCGGCGACATTTTCAGATTTCAGACAGGAAATCAATCGGTTCTTTATAATAACTTACACAATCTGGTAAAGATTCCAGAGAACAGAGTAAGAATGGTAAGCTTTGGTGGGGTCAAACCAGAGATAGATGCGTTGCTCCCGGTCACCCTTCCCGCCGGTGAAAACATTAGTCTGTAAAATATACGGCTGCCCTGTTCTGTTCCCCAAGAACTCAAAATCTATTTCATCATGCTCCGAGTTTTGGGATGAAAGCTGCCATTTTTATGAAAGATATTAGCTAAACTACCTTAAATAATATGTACGTATTACATAAAATGGGAAATGTGTTAGGAGGGTGTACATAGAAGGCGGTTACGGTGCCGGCGGAATCTCCGGGAACCATTTTAATCTGCATACTGAAATGGCCGAAGAGGTAGGAGCCTTTGGATTGGAAGCCGGTGCCGGTGTAGTTGTCCAGAGACAACTGGATCTCGGAACCGCCGTTGAAGTATTTGATATGGTCGAATGCCCAGGTGGGTACGTAGTTCCTACCAAAAGGCACAGCCACCGGCTTTCTTGGAGCTGCTCCCATGGCGATACCCGCCATTGCTAACACACACAGACATAGCCACACCAGACGCTGCATCCTTCTTGTTTTAGTAGTTTTACTGAAAGAAGAATCAAAAGAAAGGAACTTGTGAGGGGAAGCCGAGTCTAAAAGAGTAAAGAGTTATGAAGAATGTATACCTTAAAGGATTTGAGTGAGACAGGATACAAGGATGGGTGTGGAGAATGGAGGCGGATGAGG